CGTACTTTGAGCCTGAAGAGGAGATTTTCCTTTCGCCAAGGAATCTAACAAAGCTCCTAGAAACCAAAACCATAAGAGTCTCCTCAATTCTAGTGCATTTGTTGTAGAAGTAAAGAAGGACATTGCCTAAAAGCCCAATAGTTCATTACTATAAAATTATACCCACCTTCTCCCAGAATTAAGACAGAATAGAAGGTTAACCTCATGTTAATGAGCCTGACATTTGCTTAAATGTCCAAACTAAAATTTTATTCATTCATGCAATAGGGTCCCTTATATCTATTTTCTGCAATTTAGGATCTCCTTAAGTACATGCGAGTGCCTGTTAATACTATGAAGATGGCATGCCACATGCCATAGCCGAGAGAGGAATATGTGATAATTTCTACTAGATTCTTCCTAATTATTGATGCATCATCTTTATATGAAAAAAAAAATTATTGATGCATCATCTTGAACAATATTTGTACTGGTACCAGCCTTGGAACAACACAATAACAAGCTAATACGTAGTGATAGCAGGCATTCTAGCCTGTACCTCCTGCATTCTAATACCACCACGCAACAGTTATTTTGCAAAAAGAAAAAAAAAAGGAAATGAACAGAATTTCTGCTAACCAACTTAACAATCAGAATTCACCCGCTCAATTTGCTCTTTTCCAGACACACGTTGAAAGTGGTGCATGCAATCCATGCATTAATGACTGTTGGTGTTCGAGACACCGGATGGTGGTCGAACTTGTGGCAGAGAAGCCACCATATGCCGCTGACTTGGATTCTGAGTGTAGATGTGTCAGGAAGAGACCCCGAACAGACGCCAATGAGAATTTCTCTCTCCTAGGGCTGCTCTGAAGAAATGTTCTAACGGGATTGTGTATTTATTTAAATATATATCTTTTCCTTCTACTAACTGAGAAAAGAACGGGAGTAGAGCAACAGAATAAGAGTAAAGTAAAATGATTCTTTTCCTTCGGCTATGGATGTTGTGGTTTGGAAGATATGCCATGTTCTCGAAGAATCATTTCTTGCCCTTTTTATTACTCTGGGATGTAACAAGTTTATTGGATGTCTCAAGAAAAAGGAACTTCTTGGAGTTTCTTTGGGTTTGGTAGATGGATACCTCAAAAGCTTATTTTTTGTTTGTTTTGCATAGAGATTAGCCAGCTATCATTTATTTAGTGTCATTGATTTCTCTTTTATTTTGTTTGTTTCTTTTTATTCTCGTTAGGAGGACAATAGTCCTCTTTTGTTTGTATTTCTTTTTCTCTTACAAGTAGTACATTTTTTTTTATTAAGAAAATAACCTGATCTTTTTTAGTAGAAGTAACCTGCAAGAAGAGAAGATCTCAGTTGTTTCGGAAATTGGGAAGAAACAAACATAGAAGTGAACAAACATAGAAGTTAATTGGACTTTTTTTTTTATTAAGGGAATTTGAGCATATGGATTCTTTTTTATTTTTCCTTCATGGTTAATAGTAGAGAGTTTGGTGGGGCCAAAAACGGTAGGATTTACTAACTCATTGCTCTTATATCACGCTAGAAGAAGAAACTGAAATTTTATTCTTGTCATTATGCTGATGGAATATCACTTGATATTTACAGGGATACCTAGGAATGAAAAGAATAACTAAACTGAACCTAACTATATAGGCTATCATGTCTATAAGAAAAGACATGGGAAACACCCTATTATCCTCTAGTGGACTATAAAGGAAATGTCATCTTCTCTAACCAAATCTATTGTAAGATTTTCGGTAAACCATCAATCATAATGTTTAACAGACATATGCAGGTACTTAATCAGAGATTCTATATAGCACACAATTTGATATATTAAGGATCCAACAGCACAACAAAAAATTGCTCTTAAATTATGCATTTAGGTAAACCTTGGGCCCTTTAGCATGCACTTAGCTGAAGCAATCTTACATACCATATTCCTGTTTCATCTGCAGCAAAAACCATTGGATTGCAGTCATATCCCACACCTATTACAACCCTTTCAGAAACAAATAAGACCTGAATCCACAATTACCAGACTAAGAATCAGTTCAGTAGGTGTTTCAAGGACAAAGGGAGTGAGTCCAGAAAATATTAACAAGAGTGGATGCTGACCCACATCACGAAGAGGCAAATCACGGAACGCAACATTTTGAGCCAGAGGAGAAGGACCAACATCATCAACAAAGTAAATCATAGAATTGTGACCTGACCAATATTATAAATGAAAAGTGTTTCAGTTAGCACCAAGAATTAATGTGAATAAATTTCCAACAAACTTCTCTTTAAAATGGAAATAAACAGTCATGATCAGCAGTTAAAGATATCTCTGACCTACATAAGCTAAGGTACGGCCACTTGGTGACCATTTTACACCAAATGCCCAGGAATACGAGAGATCAAGCTGAACAATTTGCTGAAATAAAATAAGCAAATGATTAGGCAATAGAGTGATGGAGACAAATTTAAATCAAACCAAAGGTATGTGAGGGTGTATGGTTTGTATATGTTTAATCAGTAAGCCGAAACCAGAGAAGAAGGAGAAATATTTAGTTTATTCATTTTAGAGATTGCATCTTGCTACCTATGCATACATGAATTTTAAAATAAGAAAATATTTATACATGGACACAAGAAATAATGTATACTATAAATTAAGGATTGCAATTAAATAGTTAATAAAAATATTCACAGAACAATGTTAGGGAGCAAATAGAGCAGATAACACTTCCCCTCAAGGTGTTGCATAGATGTCCCTCATGCCTCTCTTGCCAGTAAAAAATGAAATAACCTACTTTCAAGTCCTTTAGTTAAGATGTAAACTAACTTTTTTGAAGAGACAGGTGGAAGATATCGGGATTTTGGATAACAGAACTTCATTTTCTCCGATGAAATGTCGATCAAACTCAATGTGTTTTTGTTTTTTCATGCTGAACTGGATTGTGAAAAATACTTACTGCAATCTAGTTATCACTTTAATATTTGTCCCTTCCAAAATTGTCAATTCATGCATCAATTTCTGAAGCTATAGTAATTCAATAACACCATGAACTATCTGCTCTATTTACCTCTGGCCTGGACCTTCCTCCTACAGTAAGCTTTTTACTCCTACAAGTGACCAAGTTTCTACTTATAAATGTGCAATAGCCTTATATAGACCCTCTATCACAAGGAGATCCAACTCAATCTGCATCTGTAAAAACTTCTAGCTTTAGGCAACTTATCTGTGGGAGAGAGCCTTTTCCTGTATTTCAGAGTATGAACTACATGTGGTTCTCAAGTCAGACCAATAAGACACCAGAAAGGTCATCCTATCACAGAGAAGGATGGGAGATAAAAACAGTGTTTAAAGATCCTAGTATATTTCTCCAACCACAGTACCAACAATCTAGCAAAAAGAGCTCCTCTTGGGAGTGCAGTCCAACTTATTCTCTACATCTTTATCAGAACAAGTATTATCCATCAAGTTCATATGATAAAAGTATGTGTGCTATTCATGTGATCCAGCCCAAAGCAAAACTTAGCACCTATACCATTCCAGTAGAGCCAAATGCATAAAGGGGAAGGTAGAGATATCAAACCTCTCCAAATTTTGAATCTGTTGACGTGCCTGTTTTTGAGTCCCTGTTTCAGTTGGTAAAAGCAACACAAATGAGAGTGCACTTATGTTAGGAGCAAAAAGAATAAAGCTAAAGTATTAGGCGTACTTTGTATCAACTCCTTTGATAAAAGTAGAAAATACTCTGCATTTTCCGTCAGTGGATGTTGTTGCAAGAAGAATCTGTCGTAACAGTCACTTGGATAAATGAGTGGTTGAGCATTTGGGTGACTAATCATTCAATAAAGTCATTACTAAGTAAGATGTAATTGAACTACTAGCTATAAAACAAACCCAGTAGCCAATACAGATTAGGTTTTTATTTTTTTTAAAAAAAGAAAAGAGAATATGATTTTTTTCAAAGGATAGTCAGCTTGAATTATAAAGCCACGTACAGATATATCTGTTTGACGATTAAGAGAGAAAAAGCTAGAAATGATCTGTTTGCTGGATAAAATAATCAGATATACTAACATTATTAGGATGCCAAGCAACACTTGTGACAGAGGAATCATGTCTTTTCCTGATAAGTTTACTGACCCACCTGGAGAAAAATAGGGGCAAACAACATCAGCTGTACAGTGCAAACCAGTATAATATGATATTTCACACATTTCTGGGGAAGCTGGAAACTTGTATTCAGCATTATTTGGTTAAAAAGGATCAATTCTTTTTTCAATAAAAGAAGAAGTTTGTTCGAGAGAGGTAAAAGATATAGCTCTTCAATATTGGCAACAAGATATGGACCAAAATAATTTGAAGTCAAGTTACTTGCAACTCAATATTCGAGCTAAATAATCATAGATAACCCCATGCTCAATAGATGCCAACTCAAATATGCCCCAGTTGACTTTTAGATCTCACACAGCTAGGGGATAAAGAAGCATATGTCTAATGCTAAGCATGGTAGAGTTATCTGGATTAGGAGAAGAGTGTCATCGACATTATGTATATGATCTCCAAGGTTTATTTCTTTAATGTAATCATGAAAAGGATTAAGAACCAACTTCAAGATGCATCACAGCTAAATTTCCTATATTAATGGTGTCTTGAGCAAAATCATCAAATTGTATTCCTACAGGCTCAAACCACAGAAAAATTCAACTTAATCAAACCTTAGGTATGATCTATATTCTTCAATCCTAGCTCGTATCTGTATTTGAGAAGAACAACAGCATAAGTCCCTCATAAGGTTATCTTAATTGAGAGGGCTCAAATCAAATAACCCTAATTAGAAACACAGGACCAAGCTTATGGTCACACTATTATTCCATAAATAACAAAAATGAGAAACATATTGGGAAATGACGATTTTAATCAACAAAAAGCATATTGTAAAACAAGATGAAAAAGTTAAATGAGTGATTACCAGTTATTTTCTTGCTCATAATAGCAGATACAAACAGTCTTAGCACCACTTCCAACAGCAAACTTGTTTTCTGAGGGTTTGACCAAACAAGGTTAATTGCTAACAGAAAAAACGGAGAAACAATAACATAATTCATTCTAGTTATCTGCAATGGAAAAGGAGAATTAGAATATAACATCACAACCGTATTTCTGAAAAGTACTCACTTGAAACAAAACAAGATTATAACAAATTTCATAACAATTTTATGTGAAGACAGCCCTTTTTATCCAGACTAGATATCAGTAACACAAAGGCAATGCATGGAAAATTGTTCCATAGAACAAATACAACACTTTCTGTTGGTTCACCTATCTTATGATATGAATATGTCATTTCATGTGCATACTGCAGAAAAAGAGAGCTGTACCATGAACTTAAGTAAATACAATGTTGCAAGCTATGCTCTAACAATTGTTTTGAATTGACACACTTAAATATGTGCAAAGTAGATTCCTCTGTTAGGCAATGTACTCCTTCCTCCTATTCAATAGCACCAGCTCAGGGGATCTTATGCACTCTCTTTGATACACCTCCTGGGGCTAGTCAAGCTTCTAAACACCTCATAGGATTTTCCTCTACTAGAGCCTAGATGTCTTACTTCACATTTGACTGCAACCATTTTTATGATGAGCATCAACTTGAGGATGATCCTGTAGTTACTTATCAAAATCCAAGATCTTCATCTAGGCTAAACCTTTAGTTTATGACCAACTTGTTAGACACAATGGTAGAATACCTAAGCCTCTAGTAGAAATCAAGGTGGAATAATAGGTGATCTCCTAACCCTCCGAAATAATCAACATGATTTCTTTGCATCACCAAGAAAATCAAATGTGACTTCCCTAGTTTTGATGGAACATAAGATTCTAATATTTCATAGACTAGCTTGATATTATGGACTATTTTCATTGGTATAGATGAAATAGAGAGATATTATTTTGTTGGAATGAAACTCATTGGATCCACTCGTTAAATCTAGAGTGACTGGATGAACCTCCCATTAACTAATGGGTAATGAGGAAACAAAAATTGAAAGAACAATATCTCCTAGCTTACCCTTTTCTTTAAAATAAAAATAGTATTATATGAAAAAATCATTAAAGCTCCTCGTGGTTTTCCGTGGTTCTATTACCTCCCAATTTTTTCAAAGGTCCAAAATACAAAAGGGGTCATATAGACAAAAAAAAAAAAGGTACAAAACAAATAGCTTTGACATTTCTTATCATTTTTTATGTCAACTTATTCATTTTCTCGTCCTATATTCTCTTTTAGAATATATCAAATACTTAACAATGTGTACAGAAAATAGCTTTGACATTCAGTTCAATCAACTCTTGGTTACAATTAATCATATTAATCTAGCAATTAGATATGACGTGCCCCATCAAGTCTCTGGAATCCAATCAACTCCTAGTCCTGATGGAAACATAAAAAGCATTAACAAGTTTCCACCTGATCCAGTTTTATCTTGATGAAGCTATTTTAGCAAACAATTCTCTTTATGGTCATGGCCTCACTATTAATTGTCTTCAATTGAGTATTGCATAAGAATATACTAGAACTTGGAAGTTCAGAGACTATAAAACTATTAGCAAGAATCCAAGTTGAGCTTAAAAGTCTAACTAACATCCTTTCTGTGAGAAGATAAACTTGAAGATTTTCTTAGCTATCAGCAGTAAGAGAAATATTGGCACCCACAGAAGCTGTTCATGCCCATTCAGATCATGCTGAGTAACTTGCTTTTTGCAAAGATTTTGTTTTGCCTCATGCTCTTATCGAAGTCCGTAGAATATAAAACAAATTAGGTTGATTTGTCCACCTAAAAGGTTGGGAATAAAAACCTAAACAACACATGTAGGATTTCTTATACATCACATCTAATGAGCCTTAGATTTAACACTTAAGAGTTTGATTGCATCACACAACCATAAAATTAAAAAACTCTCAAAATATTTTATTGAATAACTAAATATTGTCTCAAGAAGTGAACTTATAAGATATTTATAATGCTCCCTATGTAATTTTACAAAATAAGATTAAACTAAAAAATATTAAAAATAATAAGGCTAGAAATACTACTCTCAATAAAAGTAGGAAATAATATTGATATAAATAAGAAAATTGAATACTAAAAAGATTAAAAGTTTGAAGTTTTTTTTATACATAGATAAAGAGTGAATCTTGTATTAATATAGGCACCAAGGGGGTGCCGCTCATATACAAAATTTACAAATCAATCAATGTATCAACAAGGTCCGCCAAATCTTTCATAGAACAAGGATGACCTCATAACAAAAAAACTAAGAGTCTGGAACCATGTATTCTTAAGGAAATCAAATAAAATCTTAAAGAACTAAAACAAATATAGATTTCTAAAGAGTGTAATAGTGTTATATTTGATAAAATTATAATTTTCCAATATATTTAATCAATATATTGCCACTCCATCCTGCATCATCCTATACATGTTATCCGCATTGAACAAATTTCTCATGACGATTTAATTTTGCTTTGTTAGTTTAATGATCTTATGAAACTTACAATTTCGAATACACGTTCCATGCAGAATATCACAAGCTTCAATTTTTTAAAGATTTTGAGGAGCATCTCAAATCTAATGAACCCAATGTTTCATTATTAGAAAACTCTGAGGCAATAGTGTCCTTATTAGTCTAATTATTAACTATACATAAGGCATTAACTATAAATAATGAAAATGATTGGTCCAGTGAAAATTACTTTGCTAAAGTTTTGTTCCCTACTTATCTCTCTTGGTTCTTTTCTTTAGTTTTTTTTATGCCTAGCTCATCCCATTCTCTCTTTTTTTTGTTTGTTCTTTTTTATTTGATAGAAAAATATGTAGTATTCAAAAAGAAAGAAATTTACATTCAGTAAGAATAAGACATCTTTCTCAAACATTTAATAGAAGCTGAAGATATTACTATTTCTGCTATCTCCTTGTATTTCATTACCTCACCAATTTTCTCTATTCTTTCCAGTTCTGCTGCTGTCCTATTCTATAGTCGAATGAGCAAGTTGCAATGCTGTTTCTCGCTCTTCCCAAACAAACAAGAGATATAAGCATATAAAAAAAATTAATGTTTCAAATAATCTAACCATCACCCAAAAAACCTGGAAATTATAATAATTAGGAACCATCCTCCCAGAAGAAAAACATTAGGAAAAGCTAACTACAAAATATGAAGTTAACTATCACTTGGAAATGCTAAGCAATTACGCAAGAGACGGGTGAAAAACAATCAGTAAAGCAGAAATTAAGAGTTTTATTACCTTTGGGACTCCACTGAACACAAAGTGCAGCACGATTTAGCCGAAGTATCACCAGCGTTGGCACCCATTCTGGTCCTTCTAGATTCCAGACATATCTTGAAAGAAATTTATCAACTTAGTTTAGGAAGAAAAAAAAAAGAAAGAAAGAAAGAAAGAACAAGCGGATTACAAGAAGCTGATATTTTTGTGTAAGTCTGAGTTTGTGACACAGGACAAATTAGGGATAACCAGGTGTTGAAAGTAGAGACCATGCTTAGGGTACTTTAAGCATCATACCTAAGCTTTGAATGCATGGACAATCATCCAAAACAAGTCTGAAGCAAAACTCTTGTTATGGGTCCAATCATTATGGAGAGAGAGAGGGTGAAGAGAGTAGCGGTTGGGAAGAATAAAGTAGAGATTTCACATCTACAGTTAGTTGATGACATATTCCTATTCTTGCAACATGATGAAAGGTCAATTAGGAATTTAATGACTCTTATTCAAGTATTTGAGCAAACCTCAGGATTGAAAATTAACTTGGGGAAAAGTGGCCTCATAGGTATTAATGTGCATAATGAAACTATATTGAGACTAGGGGAGTCGATGGGATGCATAGAACATATTGGCTCTTGATATATTTGGGAGTTTGTTATGGATGCAAATATTAAAGGTACAACAAGAATAGGATATTAATGTTCAACTAAATATGAAATCCTAATTAGTATTAAATTACTAAATAATATACATATTTTCCATTAATATTTGATTCCTAAATAGTGTAGGATTTTCAATATTTTAGTAAAATATTTCTAATTAGATTTAAATTTCAAATAAAATTAACATTTCTAAATAAGAATTATAATCTCTATATAAAGGAGAATGCTTACTATTAATAAAATAAGTCAGAATATTATTTTAAAGTACGAGATTGAAGCTCTCTCTAACGAGATCCAATGTAGCAGCTCCCTTTGATTAGTTGTAATATATTTTTATAAGATAAATCGCTCAAGAAATCGCAACAAGGAGAAGAAGCAGATTATGGAACTAGAAATTTCAGATAACCGCCCAGTGACAAGATCCTGGTCTTGGAAGCATAACAAAGTCCCAATCGGGAGCAATCCAAGAAGCAAATCCTTTGGAGGTGCTGAAGAATAAGGTAGCCAAGAGGCTGGAGAGTTAAAGAGGGAGACATTTTTTCTCTAGAAGGTAGGGTTACTTTGACCTAGTCATGCCTATCTACTATACCACTTTATTTCTTTTCCTTACCCAGGATCCCTGCAAGGGTTGCTGAGAGATTAGAGGGATACATGAGGAGATTTCCAGGAGCATGAGTGAGGGAGGGAGACCAGATCATTTAGTTAGTTGCAATTTGTGTTGTCAATCCAACAATTTGGGGGATGAGAATTGAGAATCTTAAATCTAAGAACTATCTTTACTAGCTAAATGACTTCAGTACTTCCCACGAGAACCAAAATCTTTATGGCAAAGAATGATTAACATGGGAGTAGGTGTGAATGAAATGTCATGAGAAGAAGACACATATCCACCATAGACCCTTGGAAAGCCATCTCCCAAGCCCTTAAATTCTTCCTTCTTAACATGATTCCATGTTGGAGATGGTTCTAGAGTGAGGTTTTGGGAAGACACCTGGGTGGGAGACTAACCTTTAACCAAAAATTTTCCTAGTTGTTTAACCTATCATCTAGACATAATACCCCAATCTGAGTTCATTTTCAACAGTGCGGGGAGTGTCCACCTCGAATTTCCATTTCACCCATAACCTGTCAAAACAGATTCACCTTTCTTCTCAGCCTGATACCAGAATTTAGTCGTTGGACCCATTGGGGTTATATGCTTGCAAGTCTTTCTTTGATTATCTCATTAAAAGCCACACCTTTAACCAACTTCAAATTGCCAAAGTATTTTGGAGAACATCAGCTTTGTCAAACGTGAAGGTGTTTACATGGACAATTATGCATTAAAGGTTCAAGACTAACAAGATGCTAGAAGTTAGTTTTCCTCACCGCATGTATCTCTAGATATTTGCATTATAAGCTACAGAGGGGGAGAAACACATTCCTATTAGTTTTCCAGTTCAAGGCAGCTTAGACAATTTGGACAAAAATGTTTAATCTCTTCGGTATGAAGTGGGTTACTTGTCCTAAAGAGGGGAGCTTCTAGGTGTATGCATCAAGAGGGATAGGGTGAGAAACGAAGCAAGACTACCGTGGTCAAAGGGCAAATCTCAGGTCTATCAGAAGGAGAATTTTGTGTCTGATCAACTTGGGAGAGACATTTACCTTGTGCAATGCAAAGAAATAGTGCAGGTCAACTAAGAGAGAGACAAAGAGGAATGCTATTGTTGATGAACAAAGAGAGACTAAAAGTGTATTTGGTTTGCGGAATATGGTTGAATAAGGCATGAATATAATTACTAGCACATAACTAGAAGTTACTCCATTCTAGTCGGTTTAGAATTGTGATTCCTAATGATGTCGTAATAGGGTTCCCTATCAAGGGGGTGTGAAAAATGACCAAGAGATGGCTTGAAGACTTGTGTAGTATTTTGCCGTTGTCTTCTTATATATATGTTAACTTTATCCTTCTGACAATTAACATGCTCTTCTCTACAGCTCTGCAATAATCCTTCTCAAAACATACACTTCTCTTAACAACAATCTACACAAGAATGTGCAATTCTAAACAAAGATTTATACGAAGAGACAGAGTAAGAGGCTAAAATCTGGTGACGAAGCATGATGGAAACACTTGATTCTGGTTTGCAGGCACATCAACACTAACTGTAGATAGTGTGCAAGCAGTGATTGATGATGGATTTGGTACAAAAAGCAGCCATTGGGTGTCTTTATACAAGATGCTGCCTCTGGAGCGCTATGCTTGTCAGTGGTTGGGGCTAAAATGAGTAAGATAAAGATTTTTAAGGATGATGATGATATTTAGATAAAGCACCAAGGAAAATGAAGTATTTGAAAATGATGAATGGTTTTCAAGATGATAAAAATATTCTTTTAATTTTTGTTAATATTCATTTTTTACAATTAGTAAATTAATCTATTACTATAATTAGTAAACTATAATTTTCAAATTGTAATACGTGTTAGTTTAAAATAAATGTATAATATATATGGAATCATATAATAAACATGACATTTCAGTCATTTAGACTTGTTCCACATTTATTACAATTTACCAAACAATATAATAATTATTCTTATGTACGAACCAAATAAACACTATCCCATTCTCACCTAATGCTATTCTACTCCAGCTTTATTACATTCAAGAAACCAAACATGTCGTAAGACAATGATCAAGAAGGTTAGAGAAATGAAAGGTCAATAGTAGGGCTTACCATTTTTAATTTTAAATTTAATTTATTAAGTTTTTAATGGGAGGGATTGGGTTCATGCAATGGTTGAATTATGAATTGGATTGGCATTTATTATAACATTAGGGGTAGCTGGGTGAATAAAAAGTTGTAGAAATGAGTGTAGTAAGAGTTTTCCTTTTTAATAAACTGTCCCCCGTGGCAAGACCAAGACAAAACAGTATTTGTAGGCTCTTCAAATTTCTGGACACAAGACTGACTGAATAGTCCGGACTGGTTTTTACAATTCATACCAGTACAATTTTCTTGTATGGACCTAATTATAAACACCTCTACTCGTAGTAATACACCAAATACAAGAAGATCACTGAAAATATAAGATAAGAACTGCATATCTAAATTGGAAGAAATACAAGCCCTAATATATATATATATATAATCTCTGTATTAAACCTCAATGCATTAGTTTGTGTGTGCCATTCAGGAATGTTAATAATAAGCAAATTGTAGCTAAATCTCTTTTCTGTGCAAGTATTTCCAACCAAATAGACACTCACGAATTCCGATCATGAGAAACAGTGACAATTCTGTTTGAATTTGCACTCCAATCTATCCCGGAAACAATTTGGTCATGCTGCAACAAGTGAATGGAAGAAGTAAGAAAATTTGATATGAAAGTACCATATCATCAATGTATAGATTTACTTTAAATAGCTATCCACACTATCAATCTGGACAAATTTTCTAGGAGTGAAACTTCGATTTCTAATAGACTAGTACTGAAGTCCTTTCAACTTCTAAACTCAACGTCCCAATTTTCATTAATAAATTACAGAACAAATCATGCAATAATGGGAGATTAAAGGATCATTCTTTTCCTGGAAAAAATTTTGGCAGGTTGTCATGTACCATATTCTTGTTAGTGCATCACCGATAGAGTATTGAGCACAACAAAGATGTCAATTATGAATTACCACCATTAACAATAGTTAATGGTATATTTCATTGAATATCACAATCCTATATATGCAGATTTTATAGAATAAAAAACGAAATAAACAATTAATTATATATAGTGTTTCTTACACCGATACTATTTAACCTAATTTACATAAAATACCGACTCGTTAACACTTTCCCTCAATTTGGAAAATAGATATTGTCTATCCTCAACTTGCCAATGATAGTCTGGAATGTCGGACTGCTCAAGCATTTAATTAACACATCTGCCAACTATGAATTAAGCATGTATGGAATACATATTAGGCCACTGTCATGTTTCTCCTTGATAAAGTATTTTTCGACTTTGACATGCTTAGTCCGGTTATATTGTACCAGATTGTGTATAACGCTTATGGCTAACTCATTATCACAGTACAAATGCATAGGACTCTTCCACTTGATTCTCAGATCTTCTAAAATCCTTCTTATCCATTATAGTTCACATATCTCTTGAATCATCACTCGAAATTCTGATATTGCACTTGATCTAGCAAATATATTTTGTTTCTTACTCTTCAAGTAACTAGATTGTCCCCCAAGAAAGGTATAGTAACTTATGGTAGTCTACCACCAGCTCTACATAATCTGTACTTGTATAATCTTCTAGAAGCAACCTATCACTCTTCTTTGACAAGATTCATTTCTCAAATAACCTTTTTAGGTAATGCAACATTCTATAGGTTGACTATAAGTGTACTTCTATATGATTGTGTATGAACTATCTTATAACACTTACTGCATAGGAGATATCTGATCTTATGCGAGGCAGGCATATTAGTCTCTCGACCAATCTTCGGTACATCTCATTTCTATTAGTATATCTTCTTCTACCACTTCTAATTTATGATTGGGATCAATACAAGTACTAACTGGTTTACATCCTAGTTTGTTAGTATCTTTTAACAAATCATGAATGTATTTCTACTAAGAGATGAAAATATCGAATTTTGAGTGACCAACTTCAATTCAAGGGAATACTTCAACATAACTAATTTTTTTATTTCAAATTTTCTTGTCAAACATTGCTTCGGCATCGATTTTTTTTTATCATCATCTCATGTTACAATAATGTCATCAATATATACTAGGAGAGCAGTAACTCTTCCTATCTCTGGGTGCTTGATAAACAGAACGTGATCTCCCTAAGTCTACTTATATCCTAGGCTTATAATCATCCTTTCGAATCTACCAAACCATGTTTTTGGCGCTTACCTGAATCTGTAGA